TAGAAAAGTACATTTGGATCTTTGTAAAGCCTGTAAAAAATTTATGAATTTATTTTTGCTACGTCAGGCACCGTACAAGATGATCAACAAACTACACCAGTAGGTACCAGCAGTATGTGTTTTGCGATCGATTTGTTAGTATTGTTTATAATGAGAAAAATCTAGCTATTTTCAAATTTCGAAATTCAAGCAAATTCCTTATCTTGAAAACATAACCATAAACCACTTATATGTTAAAAAGGAAAAACCCTGCAACGTAACCAAATGCTAACAGAGGGAAAACAAGTTAAACAATTATTAAAAACTGAAATATTATATCATGTAGTGTAAGTTTGTGTGTCTCACCTTGAGACCGTCCTCAGGACAGATCTTCAACACCCAGGGAGAAAACTCGAAGATTATTCCCATATTCTCCACTCCTGCGTGACGAGAGAAATACAGTTCGACTTCACCAAGGAAACTCACAGGACACAAAGGAGACACAGCAGATGATCCAGCTCATAGTAAGCAATACAAGCAAATCAAATAATCAATAAACGTTATTTAAATGGATATTATTAAGTTGCAGCTGATGATCATAAAACCTTGTTGAAAGCATATTTAGTAGATATTTTATAGTTTGTTTGTGGTTAATGATTGGTTTCTGGTTCACTTATCTATGAAACATTTTACAATGTCTTTGGTAATCATTAGCAAAGATTGAAATGTTCCTTTCTTTGACACAATATCGTAAATATAAACAAATGGTCTATCAGTAGAATAAATACTAACTAAACATCAATTTGCCATTTAATTTATGACGGTTATTATGATCCGTTTTCCTAGTTTAACACATGAACAGCTATCGTTAGCGGCTAGATATCGGGTCAGTAATGCAACAGGAATTCATGTCGCCATCCCAGGTGCAGAAATACAGTAAATCCTGACACATGTGGTACAAAAAGCCTCATTTAGTGCGTGCCAGAAAACGTGAGGCACTGCAGACCATGACATACAACAGAATGCAGAATATTTATTTCATCCAACATCAACAGTAAATCAGGCTGACGGTTTTCTCAGAGCTTTTCCCAAAATCACCCCAACTAATTATAAATATGGAACAGCGAGAGACGACGGCTCCAAGTGAACACAGACGTCCTCACCCAGTCTTTGGAGGTACTGCACGGTGCGCTCGTGGCCCTTCAGAGGAGAGTTCGCCTTCGTGGACTGATCCAGAAGAACCTGAAGAGCTGGGGGGTGGGGGGGAGGAAGAAAGAGAAAGCAAGAAGAAGTAGAAGAAGCAGAAATGTGAGATTTCAGTCCACTACACTACATAACTCCTCCATTAGCAGAACCTGGCTGCAGCTCCTGCTCTGTGTTAATTGTGGAGAGGAGCAGCTGGTTTGAGTTTCGGAGGCTGACTCCAGCTGCATGACATCACAATCACAAATTGCAGCAGTTCGATTAAAACCAGCCGCGTTCACAGCGAGAGTGGCCAGAGAAACCAAATAACGTAAAGACAGCTCTGATGTACGAGGGAAAAGCTCCTCTGAGATGAACTGTGGAGCCCAGAAAACAGCTCAGACACCAGTTCATAAAACCCATCCATCTTAAAAGCAATGGAACCATTCTGCGTATAATGGCTCTTGTTATTTTACCGAGGTGATGAGGAGGATGCTGACAGAGGCCGATACAGGTCTGGCATCAACTGATCCCTCATTTATAAACTAAACCCCAAAACTCAACGTCCAATTCGAGAGAGAAATCACTAACAGATGTTTCCTTGTTGTGTTTGCAGTCGTCATGCCGAGGTCTGAAACACATTTGGTGGAGAACAAAATTGAACTCTGGTATCAGTCGTTATCCAGATGATTGACAGATCTGTTGTCTGCGGCTAGATGATTTATTTAGCTTTTTTTTAAAATTATTATTCATTATAAATTAATCTAAAAATAACAGATAGTAAAAATATCCTTCAAGGTTTCTCAAAATCCAAGTCGGTGTTTTTAAACGTCATGTTTTTTCAGTCCAAAACACAAGTTTTCACTATACTGATATAGTGATAGATATTGAAGACGTGACTGTTATTTATATTGATTGTTGTGTTTTTTTATCTTAATGTGTGCACATGTATTGTATACATGTGTATATATATATAGGATATACATATTTTATTCATATTTGTATTTTTATACTCGGGATTGTGGGAAGCGGTATTTCGATCTCTGTCTGTACACAAAAACTGAAAGATTGACAATAAACTTGACTTTGAATTGACTAAAGCGGCCGTATTATTCTTTTGTGGTTTTCCCTCTCCTATAGTGTGTTCTATAGGTTTTAGTGCATGTAAAGGCCCTGACACACCAAACTGACACCAAAGAACACGTCCCGACGGAACACGACTGTTGTGTCGCCTCACGTCTCCTGCGTCTTGGCCAACAGTTGCACTGGAACACACCGCAAAGACTTCAGCCAACGGCCAAGTAGCACGTACAAACTGCGCATGCGTGAGTGGCAATAACTCTCCTTACCAGCAGGCGGCGGTAGTGTGTATTCGTCATTCAAAAGAGGCAACAACCGGAAGACAGAGAAGAAGAACAGACTCCGTGATATAAACAAACAACAAATAGCGGGTGCATTCCATTTTCACTCTCGTCCATCGAAAACATGTCTCGTGCGGGAACATTTACAAGAATATCAGGATAACCTTTCTGTTGATTTTTGCCAGGCACAAAAATATTTTTATTATCGAAAAATATCAGCCAATTGTATGCTTTACGAATAAAATTTCCTCAAATAAACCACTACAGAACCGCAAAAGCGGTTCGACAGAGTTTTTGACCAAAGTACGACCAGAAATAAACACAGACTCGAACGATGCAAAACTGAACACACTAAAAAACCGCATTATTTACCACCCCTCAATGTGGAGGAAGTCGACAGGCCCCCGAAAGGGGACCTTTGGACCGCGGCCGCGAAAAGAGCCAGAACTCGAGCGTGGAACGGTCAAGTTTATACCGAACAAAGACCGTTGCTTACCCAAAAGTTGAAAAATGCGACTTGTGTGTGTGGTGCGTGTTTCGCTCTGATCACATTTTAAGTCATTTGGTCTAATTAGTCTACCTTTTTTACACTAAACCAGAAGAGACGAAATAAAGAATCCCTAATCATCGCCCTGAATCTATCGTTATTCTAAAAATCGGAAACTCTGTATTATTATTCGGGGACTTGTTCTCTCTCTCTCTTAGCGCGGGCATGAGTAAGCAATGCAGCCTGTGCTTCTTCTCGTCTTTTTTTATATATATTATAATTATATCTACCCCCCTAGTCCTCTATCTTATTATATATATATATTCTTTGTTGTTTCCTTAAATTTGTGTGTACAACTTAGCGGGCACGCAGCCCACCCGGTCAGCTCCGGTTTATTTAGTGGGCAGTGGTGACCTAACGACAAGTCGATCGCTTAGTCACGTACTCTTCGCTTTGCCTTCACTCCCTGCATTTGTTTGCGAAAATTCTTCCGTGCTTCTTACAGAAAGTGTTCGTTGTGAGGCTACCCACTATNATCAGTCGCTGGGCCCGGAAATACTTTTTCCCATTGACTAACATTGGGAAAGAGGCGTCTGTAAATCGTTGGATGATTGTTTTAAACTAAATAAACTACCCAGTGGTAGTTTATTTAGTTTAAAACAATCATCCAACGATTTACAGACGCCTCTTTCCCAATGTTAGTCAATGGGAAAAAGTATTTCCGGGCCCAGCGACTGATATGGAAGTGTAGTACCGCCGTTTGGCCACAATGAATATTTTCCTCAGTGTCCGGCGCACTTCCTGGGGGCTTGGTACTACTTGAGATGGCATGTGTTTTTAAAAAGCAGGAAATACATAAAGGAACTCACCTTGTGATAAACCTGCAAGAGAAAAAGCATTTGAGCTCCATACTGTTTCAGAAATAATCCTTGATGTGGTTTAGAACAGGATGGCGTTTTATCACAGCAGAATTTAACTTTATCTCCGGTAGAATTCTGATCAGGCATTAGCTCCGCCTCCTCTTTTTTTCTTTTTTTTCAAGCTAAGGACCCAAAATCCGCGTTTCTCTAACAGGGCTGGAATAGAGGGGTATGAGCAATGGGGGATCTGTTTGGTATTTTAAGCAAAACACTTCACAGACATGTTTTGTATAGGTATGGCCCTACAATATATGTTTC